CCATGGAAGTCGTCAAAAGGGACAATGCAGCAAACAAGCTACGCATGCCGTCCGGTGACTGCTCGTAAAAGAACTCAAGCTGCCCTATGAATGTAAATACTTCTGCAGCACCAAACAAAAAATATTGGGGTATTTGCCACGTGATATTAAGTGGTATTGGAACGTTTTCATCAACCAAACCAAGGGCTTGTGCAAGTGCCAATCTCTTCATCTCCACCAAAGCAGCAGATACCATACATAGTACTGAAATAAAGAGGCCAATTCCCATACGTTGCAACTCTGTAAAGCCTTTCGCTCTGCCAGTAAACTTCCTCGCAATAGGGACGATAACCCTATCGTAAACAGGGACCCAGAAAATAACGCAGACTCTGTAAACTGTCCCGACATTGATTCCGGTTAGTTTCTACAAGGGTCCAGTAAGACTCTGTAAACTGTCACAACAACTGCCCGTCACCTGTCTTCTACACCGGACCGACATGACCCCATAAACTGTCTTCTACATCGGTCCGACATGACCCCATAAACTGTCCCGCCATTGCTCCCGGTCAACTTCTACATCGGTCCGGCATGACCTCGTAAACTGTCCAGACATTATTTTCTCCAACGGTCTGACACGACCATACCGTGTCTCCTATCCTGTTTTATTTTATTTATCAGTTTACTTTCCTATTTTGTTACTCTCTCCAAACTCAAGTTGGTTAGTATCTATCCTCCTTGAGTTTGAGGGGGGCTGTAAGTGTAGTAGGTAAAGTTGAGTGTGTTAGGTGAGAGTTGAGTGTGGTAGGTGAATATGTTTTTCTCTTCTATATATAGGAGAGTCATTGTATATACAACAACATTCATCAATCAATAATACATATATTTTTACACAAAACAAGTGCAATTATGAGAAAGAAAATACATAATAAGCATACGGACATTTGAGAGCTCCTGGTACTTCTACTGGACTTTTTATCACCTGGCCTGAGTTTATCAGTGTGTTATTTGGAACTTATGACCATACTCCAACTATTTGTTCACCTTATTGCCCAAGTAACCCTAAATATAAACTATTCGAAGGAAAAACAATAGTAATAATCAGCTATTAAAATGGTGCCAACCTAACCATAAAATTAATTAAATAGTAAGATGAGGAAGAAACAATATCATTTTTCATGCTCTCAAAACTTCCTACCAGAATAAAATATGCACAAAAATATCTGCACGGCTCATTCACGAATTTATTTAAACAGTAAGATGAGAGGCATCTGAGCTTGAGAACTACGTCACAGAATCAGAACATGTACAATAAACTGCTAAATCAATGCACAAGGAAAAGCTTCTCAAATATGATAAACTACTGAGTGCGTTCATTATGTTTCTTAAGTTATAAGATATGGCTTTTTGCATAGATAAACTAAGAAAAATGATCCTTGTAGCAAACTTGGAGTGATTTGGATTAAAGCTTGTTAACAGTGATCCAATTTGGAGGAATTCAATTGTTAACAATGTGCTTTAATTTGGCATTCTCATCCGGTGCTTTAACAGTGTTCTTTAACTTTTTGGATTCATCTGAGTAGATTCTAAAACTCTAAAACTTTTTTAAAAATTTTAACAAAACAAAATCCACTAAAAACCCCCAATCCCAAACGACCCCTTAGTCGTTTTTATTTATTTATTTTTAAATTCACTTTGTTCTAACAGAGGCCTTTCCAATCCTCGAACAGTGAAAACATGTTTAATTGGGCCAGTGGGCTTAATAGTTTGGATGGACTCTTGCTCATTGCTCTTTAACCATCTTTAGGAAAATGGGCTTTTATCAATCTTGCTCAACAATTTGGGCCGCACTCTGCGACATACGATATGAGTAAAAATGGCCAATCTCCCTCGACTTCAAACAATGATAATAATAATCACATTTTGTTTTTTATTTATTTATTTGATATTTCGTGATTGTTTTGGTTGAATGGTCCCACTAGGGTGTTCAACGGATATTTTGATCCACTCAAACCAATCGAATTGAACCGATCTGCCGCATTTTAGATGGATGCATGATGACGAGTAAACAGTTGCAGATTGATTTTTTTCAATCCGCTTAGTTTTGGACGAAAGACGGATTTGAGATTCCTTTGACTGCAACCGAACCGCCAAACTGTGAACACCCTAATAATTTGTAAGACTTTGTGTTTTCAATTTATTTAGATATTCTGTTGTGTTTTCTATTTTGAAATTTTTTATCAAATGACAAGTGTTGATATTTGGTATTTTTGTATGGAAAATATAAGGTTTAATTTTATCATTTTTAAAAAAATTAAATAAAATAGTTTTTGAATAAATAAAAAAAAAGTAATGAAATAGTTTTGATAATACATGGTTTTGTTATAGTATGTATTTATTATTAATATTTGACAATTTACTTAATAATCTTTTAGTTATATTGAGTTGAATTGTTATCTCAAAAAAAATGTTAACAAGTTATTGTATTATATTCAAAATTTATAAAAGTTTAAACCGTCAAACTAATGCACATCTATTCACCAATCCGCTTAATCTGCATCTGCCAATTCGACGGACAGATGACGGATTGAAAGTTCAATAGCGGTAACTGAACCACGAACACCCCTAGGTCCTACCACTCAAGTCTGTTAAATAATGCAAAAGTAAATATTACATAATAAACAAATTATAATACATTACAAATATAATCATTAAAGTATTATTGTTTATATTTAAAATGATGAATAGAATTTCCTCGTGTGACAATTAAACTGCTGAAGATCTATGTCTTGGCATGAAAAAATTGCGTACACTTCAAAATTTGGGCTGAGATGTATATTTTGCAATGGAAAAAACAAAAAACAAAAGAGTGAAATGGAGTATTCATGAACATCAAATTATGCATGCTTCGCTATAAGCCTATTTTGACAGGCGGAAAATGACAAAAGTGTTCCATTAAAAAAAAAAAAAGATTAAAAAATTGGCCGTCTTTCTCTCAAAGTTCACTACAAGCAATTGTACTTTTGGCGACTAAATTTTTAATCGCCAAAAGTCATATTTTTAGTCGTCAAAAGGCTTTTCTGACTAAATAATTTGGTCGCCATCTTGGTCGCCAACTTGGTCGCGGAAAGACTGTCGGCGAAGGTATTGGCGACTAAAAAAATTTTAGTCGCCGAAAGTCCTAAACTAGCGATTAAACAAGTGGTCGCGAAAAGTAAAGGTATTGACGACAAAAAAAATTTAGTCGCTGAAAGGCTAAATTGGCGACTAATTTTTTAGTAGCCAAAAGATTACAATTAAATTTAACATCACATTTTCAGTTACTAAAATTTTTGTCGCCAAAACTTAATTTTTTTTTTTTTTGGCTACTAAATCATTAGTCGCCTAAAGTTTTTTTTTTTAAATGGCTACTAAATGTTTAGTCGCCAAAAGGTTTGTTTCCATTTAATTCTTTTTTTAACTACTAACTATTTAGTCACTAAAAATATTTAACTCCATTTTTGGCTACCAATTGTTTAGTCGTCGAAAATATCATTTTATATATTTATTTTATTTTAATTAATTTGTCTACAACCTGTATGTATCTCATGCAACCTGTAACAAGTATATAAACAAAACAATACATGCATAGGAAAATGTTTGGTAGCTCAAATTTTTGCGGCTCAAATGGCTCAAATCTGTCAAAACGACGTCGTTTTACACTCAAAATCTGTCAAAACGACGTCGTTTTGACAGATTTGAGCCATTTGAGCCACAAAAATTTGAGCTACCTAGCATTGTCGACATGCATATTATCACCCATTCTACAACATGTATTTCACTTACAACCATCCAAAAAAGAGAATAACTTTTAATGGCAAATTTTTTACAAACCAAGTATATTCCAACTGAAAATAATAATTTCATACAGAATAAAAAGTAGTACAAAACCACGTCCTCCAAAAAGGAATATCTACAATTCCATGCCAAAAATCATCTCGAAAAAATGAAAATTAATCATTAGTATTGACCACATAGCATTGGCATATTTGAAATTATAAAAGAAAATTATATAATGCAAAATCTTTGCATTACCCTTATGGGTCTTCACAAGCAAGACTGTTACTTATATCAAGCAGTCCTCTTCCATGCCAAAGGAATAATATAGCATCTGAATTTATGCAATTAGGAGGTTCCCTCAAATATAGGATTTCAATTGAACAGAAAACAACTTATACGTGAAATGACATGGATTAAACAGCCAAACATTAAAACATTAAACAAACATTAAACAAATATCGCAACCCAGAACTCATTCTATCCCCTCAATTCCAGCCAAACATTAAACAAACCCACCAGAAATGCTTTCATTTTTCTTTTTCTAGGAAAAACTCAACAACAATATTAATTAAGTTCTAAAAACATAGCTACAAAAGGCAGTTATATTGTCAAAGATACATGATAAAATAGGTGCAGAAATCTTAAAACCAGAATTAAAGAAAAATAATAGCTAGCTTCTTATTTTTATTTGTAAGCCAATCTTCCAATGGAAAATGCTGCCTATAGGACATTTATAATTAGAAAGGATCTCTGCACCTTATCACTTTATTAATTATATCATGCATAGGGCTGTAATATAAGCATACATCTTGATGAGAATATTATGAGCATCAGTGACCTTTCACAGCAGTAAAATTGAGACAACCCATTTTGCCACAAACTAAAGCAAACAAATGTTACCAATAATTAAATATAAATTACACAAATTTTCTGAATCAGACTTAAATTTCCTTTTTCCTGAATTGTAATCCCAGAGTAAAACTTTCTAGTTCCCTAACCCTAGAAGTCAAAGATTTACCGTATCTTCTGAACGAAATAATGGGACCATGCTCTGGAATACAAATTCAGAAAACATCAACAGCCCAAAACATCAAACTATATTGAAGAATATATTGTACATGTGAATGCAGAAGATGCAGTTTATACATGATATGCTGCTATTGATCCAACATACTGATCATGTTTCCATCACACATTTGTTCATGTTTACACATTGCAGTCCCTCTATTGTAATGTTTCATTATTCCATACCAGCAAGTGTTAACACAACGGAGAAGAATAAATTAATCTTTTCAGTAAGTAAATGTAAAAATAAATTGATAAAATGTACAAATGATCCTAACTCCCAATGAACAATTGATTGCAATACATAGAACAAAGTCAATACCTCTTTCTTCTTCAAGTCTGCCAGGCATGACTCAAGCAGTCCATGGAAACTTGTATACCCACAGATTAAAACAGAACCCCTTGGGCCCATTCCATGTGCTAGGGCTGCCTAAAATAGGAGGGCCAAAACAACTTAGGCAAATGTCTAAAAAATAGTTAATACAAAAAAGTAAATAAAATGTTGTTGACCATTAATGATTAAACCCACCTTTGCAACAGCTTTTGAAACTATAGAATGTGAACTCAAGCCCAAGTAATTGTTGCTCAGAAAATAAAAGCAGCTTTCTAAACTTCTGAAGGTAGGCCCTTGTTTCAGCTTCTTGGTTGCCACAGTTAGCATCATCTCCTACAACCATACAAAAGATTAAAGGGGCCATACTAATATAACAGCTCATTGGGCTATCAATAGTTTAACTACTCTACAAATGAAACTCACAAACAAAAGAACATTATTATTAAGAAGTGTGTGAGATCCATGCATGAAGAAGCCAGTAGTAGAAAGCCTTTACTTCTAAGACAACACCAACTATACATCAAACAACAAGTTCTATCATATTTTTTTATAGGGAAAAAAAAAATTCCACAAATTTGAAAACATAAACTATTGCATTATTAACAAAACCTTAGACATCAATCATCATCACACCACTCACAGTTGTAATATATATAACATTAGCAATAGGGAATTTCTCACCAAAAATGATATATACCCAAATACTATCCAACATTAGCAATAGTAACATCTCAAATACTATCTAACATAAGGTCATATCTCTATAACCACTAGACATGATGAAGCTCGTTGTTTTGATCCATATTGTCAATTAATATTGCAATTCCTCTCAAAAAAAATTATAAAACTAATAATTGCCCTACCTTGCATCACTAGTTGCTAATGAATCCGACAAATAGACCACAAATATTCTTCTTCATATCAACAACATACATATCTAGAAATTAAATTCCGAAATAATCAATTTAGGCATCACAATACTGAAAAGACCAAGATAGGACAAATTTAACCTCTCTCAACATTGGAATCTTACCATGGGCCTCTAATTCCTCTATAAACTATTTAAAAATGTCAAAACTATAAAGGTCCATACATATATGGGACATTTTACTTTATTTTACACTCTTCAATCCAAAATGATGTATAGTTGCTTCACCATGGCAAAAGAATCCCACTAAACTAAAATAAGTTATTAAAAAAACATTAAATAACAAATCATAAATAGGAATGGATCTCGTACAACTCTTATAGCTGCATTTCTTTTACTCTATTTGGATAAAAAGCAATGCTATAAATTTTCAAAATAGCTGTAAGGACATAAATACCCTAAGGACAAGATTGGCCATGTTTGAGATAGATGGAGTAGTCTTCATGATTTTGTGTTGTTTAACGTATTTGTAGGTTTTCAAAGTCTTTACACTCAAATGAAATGAGTAGAATGAATTTTGCAAAGCTTGCATGGATTTTTTTGAAGAAAGGATTATCCAATCAAATTTAAGAATAAAATCTAGAGTTTTCGAACTGGAATTTCTTTGCGCAACAGTCAGTATTTTGAGCATATCTCCACCTTATTACGATATTGGATGGAGATGATTCAAGCCGCATTGGAAGCTAACTCAAAGGGCTACAAATCATTATCTCATAGTAATTTCTTAATTCAACCATATTTGAGGTTAAAAATGAAGACAAATTCTACACACAGGACAGATTGCAATCCCCAACTTTGAAAAATCATATTTCATTCATTTCAAGTCCAAACCATGCAAATCTTGTGATTAAATTGAAACCCTAGATATCCAGTTTCAGATGAAACTATCCACATGTCAAAATTTGAAGTGTAGAGTGAGATATCAATGAAAGATCATATATGACTCAATGTGTTCAACAACTAACCACTAAATTTTACTTCCCAAATCTTCCATATTCAACCATTGTTGGTTGTATTTATGAGCAAATCCCTATATATTTGGGAGAAAAGACTTTGTACATGTATTTGCTCTATAAATAGAGAGGTTGGGTTGATCAAAGGAGAGGAAAAGTGGAGAAGAGCGATAAAAAATCAAGTGTAGAGAAAATTTTCTTCCAAGCTCTCTTCCAAGAGAGCTATGACAATTTCTACAGTCATGTGTAGCTAATCTTCTCACCCTTAGGGCTTAGATGAAGCCCTACTCAAGAAACATTTGAGGTTTTGTAATTAATTCTTTAGTTGTATTATTTTTGGATATAATTGCAAAACATTTACAGATTTTTCTACATGTATTATTTTATCTCTCTTCTTGTGTTTGATTTATGTGATTTCAAATGCATGGTTGTGCAATAGTTTTATTTGTACATATATTGAGATCCTAAGATAGATAATGCTAAGGGAAGACGGACCGTTCCTACAACAATAGTTTTAGCGTAAGATGGGTCCGTACCAATTGAAGAAGGTCTATGCCGAGAGTTTCAGTCTATGAATTTTTTAGACTATCATATTAAGACTTGCAGTCATAATATATTATATCATAATTATCCATTAATTAATCTCCCAAGAACAATTACAATTGGCTCATGTTACACAAGCAGTGGTGGATTTGAACACCCTAACGAATTTTCTTCAACAAAACTTCATCATTCTTTTATATTTACTTGTCATTTTCATCAAGTTCACATCATCAACCTTCTTTGATCAAGTAAAAATAATTTTCAATTTTAAACACTATAGTTAGTATGGCCTGGGGTATGCCCTTTGCATTTTCGTATAGACCTTGCTACTTCTTCTTTTTTTCTTTTTTTTCCTCATATGCTTACCCACCAAAAAAAAAAATTCCAATTATTACCAACCAACTAAATTTCCTAGAAATGTTATATGAAAGGGGAAAAATATCATCCCGAGGTCCACTTTCTCTTCAATTGGCTCTATGGTAGGGAAGGAAAAGGAAAGGAAAGAGAGGGAAGGGAAAAAATCAAAATGGGTTTCAACTATGATTGGCTCTAGCCTCTAGGGTAGTTGGTATTCTTCAAAATCTACCTCATGTGATCTTCAAGCGTGATTATAAAACGAATGGTTTCAACTATGAATCAGAATGGGTTTCAACTATGAATCGGTTTTAACTACAAGCATGATCTTCAACAAGTTTTAGGAATAAAGTGCCTAAAAAATCACGCTTGTATTGCACTTTATTCCACTACACTAAATCGATTATAAAACTAATTGCCAATAAAAAAAAACTACAATACCAAGTTTTCCATCAATTAGAAGAGGACAAAACAAAAAGTTGAGTTTTTTCTGGGAAAACAAACGAGAGGGTTTGAGTAGGGAGGAGGAATACGAAATACCTTTAAATGTAGTGACGATACTGGAGCACGATAAGAAGAAAGATGCATTGTTCTGTACTGAAGACATTAAATAGCAAATCATAAATAGGAATGGATCTCATATAAATTCAATTCCAATTATGAAAAAACAAAGGATTAATATGAACATGAGTATATGCAATTGTGCATACAAATATGTATATACATATGTTATATATACGTATATATATATATAGAGAGAGAGAGAGAGGCGATGGATCTGTTTGGGGTTTGGTTTGCAAAAAATATATATATATATATATGGTACAATTGGCGACTAAAACTGTTTTAGTCGCTAATTAATTTTATAAATCCCTCCAAAATTTAAAATGCCTCCCTCCAAATATTTTAGTTCTTTGGTGACAAAAATTTATTAGTCGCTGAAAATAAATTTTTGGCGACCAAAATTTTGGTCGCCAAAAGATAAAAAGTAAATTTTTATTTTTCATTTGGCGACTAAATGGTTTTAGTAACCAAAAGTCAATATAGGGCGACTAACATATTTTTTGGTCGTTGAAAATATGTTTTTTGGCGACCAAAAGTTTGGTTGCCAAAGATAAAAATTTATTTTTTATTTTACATTCGGCGACTAAATGGTTTTAGTAGCGAAAAATCAATATACGACGACTAAAATAATTTTTTAGTCATCAATAATCAATATATCTCGACTAAAAAAAATTAGTAGCTAAATATTATACTTTTGGCGACTAAAAAAATTTTTTGTCGTTAATTCCACAACTTTTGGTGACCAAATTTTTTTTAGTCGCCAAGGATGCATTTTGTTGTAGTGGTTGTATGTAATAAGAATGTTCTCTAATTTCATAACCCTAATCTCCGAAACAACTCATTATATATATTAAGATCCAAAAATAAAGAATTGGGTCATACATTTGCCCATTTATCGTCGGGTCACTAACGATCATAGGTAGAAACTAGATAGAGTACGAGACACCCATAATAGTATAGAAGGTAATTAAAAAATATTTACTTTTATACATTGGGAACAAATATTTGCACGAAGCTTGTTGTAGGAGGTGATAGTAGTTCAGACTTTTGTTGAAAGTATTTGGGTTCTAGTCGCTTGTTAGGTGGAGTGAGGTAGACCTTTGCTTGAGTTCTATAGCCTTGTGTCTGTTCGATGTGTAGAGACGCTTACAGAATGTTGCTAAGGATGCCACCCTTTATCCTTATTTTTTTTTTTAAAGAAATTAAATAAAAAAGTAACGGAAAAGTGAAGAAGATATTTTCCTTATTTCATGGAATGTATTGTTACAGATATTTATAGACAATACTCTAATGAATTCTGTTACACCAGTATATCTAACTAATCTTGACTATCACAATTGTATCTAACTAATCTTGCTCTAGGTGGGTTAGTGTAACTGTCATACACATGCTGAAGAGTTGGTTGCAGCTTTAGCTCAGTTTGAGATGTCATAGTTACATGTGCTTTAATTTTCTTATCATCCTCCCGAAAACTAATGGGGCTAGGAAGCACTATGAGTTTGTCTTTAAGATAGTGAAATCGAGCAGTAGTCAATGGTTTGGTGAAGATGTCAGCGAGTTGATTAGTGGTATGTTCTTTATTTTATTTGTTTAATTTTGTTTCAATTTATTTTTTATACATAGAAGATTATTTCAACAATAAGCTCATTACTGCAACATGTACTACCTACCTACCTACCAACATAGACAAATTGCTACTCAACCAGAATTGAGATGATGAATTGTGCATTTACTTTCAACCGTAAGAAAGAACCACCTTTAGTACTGCAAGATATTATTTTGGAACAAAATGAAACACAAAACAAGTGCAATTATGAGAAAGAAAGTACATAATAAGCATACGGACATTTGAGAGCTCCTGGTACTTCTACTGGACTTTTTATCACCTGGCCTAAGTTTATCAGTGTGTTATTTTGAACTTGTGACCATACTCCAACTATTTGTTCACCTTATTGCCCATGTAACCGTAAATATAAACTATTCGAAGGAAAAATAATAATAATAATCAGCTATTAAAATGGTGCCAACCTTACCATAAAATTAATTAAACAGTAAGATGAGAAAGACACAATATCATTTTTCATGCTCTCAAAACTTCTTACCAGAATAAAATATACACAAAAATATCTGCACGGCTCATTCACGAATTTATTTAAACAGTAAGATGAGAGGCATCTGAGCTTCAAAACTACGTCACAGAATC